TAGAATAGAATAGAATAGAAAAAAGAATGGAATGGAATGGAATGGAACGGAATGGAACGGAACAGAACAGAACAGAACAGAATAGAAAAAAGAATGGAATGGAATGGAATGGAATAGAATAGAATAGAATAGAATAGAATAGAATAGAATAGAATAGAATAGAAAAGAAAAGAAAAAAGAATGGAATGGAATGGAATGGAATAGAATACAATAGAATAGAATAGAATAGAATAGAATAGAATAGAATAGAATAGAATAGAATAGAATAGAATTCTTTATTGGCCAAGTGTGATTGGACACACAAGGAATTTGTCTCGGGGCAAATGCTCTCAGTGTACATAAAAGAAAAGATACATTCGTCAAGAGTCAAGAATCATCAGGTACAACACTTAATGATAGTCATAGGGTACAACAAGCAATCAAATCATACTAGGAAACAGTCCTTATAGTTTGTAAGGATACAAGCCACAAAGTTACGGTCATACAACCACAAGTGGGAGGGGATGGGTGATAAGGAGTGATGAGAAGTTAATAGTAATAGTAGTGCAGACTTTGTAAATAGTAGGACAGTTTTGAGGGAATTATTTGTTTAGCAAAGTGATGGCTTTCGGGAAAAAAACTGTTCTTGAGTCTAGTTGTTCTGTGTGCAGTGCTCTATAGTGTTGTTTTGAGGATAGGAGTTGAAACAGTTTGTGTCCAGGATGTGAGAGGCCTGTAGATATTTTCACAGCCCTCTTTTTGACTCGTGCGGTAGACAGGTCCTCCATGGAAGGCAGGTTGGTAGTAATTCACAGGGAGGAAGGGGTCAAGCTATTTTCTAAAACATCTGTAGGCCAGACAAGGAATAATGGATGGAAACTGAACAAGGAGAGATTCAACCTGGAAATAAGGAGAAACTGTCTGACAGTGAGAACAATCAACCCATGGAACAGAAGTTGCCCTCAGAAGTTGTGGGAGCTTCATCACTTGAGACCTTCAAGAAGAGACTGGACTGCCCTCTGTCAGAAATGGTATAGAGTCTCCCGCTTGGACTAGATGACCTACAAGGTCCCTTCCAACTCTGATTATCTGTTATCTGTTAATTGTTTTTACTAGCACTGATTATGTTACCAAGTTGGGTAATGAAACGTCTGCAAGAAAACAAACCAGTTCAGACAGCACCAAGGTCCCCTAATTTCAACCCTGAGATACAAATATTACAGAGTGGAGTGGAGTGGAGTAGAATAGAGTAGAGTAATGGCGTGGCTTGGCATGGCTAGAATAGAATAGAATAGAATAAATAGTTCTATCATGGTCACTGTCTTGACTTTTTTGACCAGTCCAGCGGTGCTCCTGCTAAGAGTGCAAATAGAATAGAACACAGAATGGAACGGCTGCCAAATAAACCATGTCATAAAGATTAGAGAGAAATATTTGAAAAGCACAGAAAGAATTTGAAGTCTGCCACTCCCTTGCTTCTCTATTTAGAAAAACAAACACAGTTAATGTATTTTTAAAAAATAATTTATGTCTAGGCTTCCTGTTTAAACTGGAAAAAAAAAACACAAAGCAATTTAGCTCAAAGATCAAACAAAACCTTGCCAAGCAAACAATTGGTAATGAGGTGAAAAATATGCTTATTTAAACAACAGCCGTTTTCCAAGGCCGAAGAATGAGCTGAAGAACCCCACGACTGTGGGTTCAAGAAAGGTAAGCAATTGCACATGTCAATAAAAAAGCTCTTGGTATTAAGTGGGCCAACCCACAAACCCAGTAATTTTAATATCCACCCTAAAAAAGCCAAAATGCACGCTGTGGGGAAGAATAACTTTGTAAAAAAAAACTTTTGCCTCTTCCTTTCTGCTCATTACAGAGGCTGATAAACAGAATTTGTTAAAAAAAAAATAAAGCATACAAGTCTGGATTTTGTAATTTCCTTCGGAGCTATATAAAGTGACTACAAATCCCATTTTACAAACGAAGATTCAACTAATCAAACTTAGCTCCGTGTTTCTTAACACTGAGCAACTTTGCGATGGATGAATGGGATTCAACTCCCAGAATTCCCCAGACAGTATTGTCAAGCTATGAGCATTCTATACTATAAAGCTATACAATAATTTTACGGTTACTTGGAATTATTGTAAAAAATTATTATTATAAAATACTTTTTTATTTTCCAAAAGCAGAGCTCAGAACACACTGCAATAGCTTCTGTAGCTGTTTGAATATGAAATATTTATTATTCTTACAAAACAGGAGTTAAAAAAATTGAGTGAATAAGGCCAAAAGCAAGGAATTTTTTTTAAATACCATCTTTGAAACCAGATTCTATTTACAAGTGATGTGTGCTTTTGTGAATCTCAGGTTTGCACAAGGCAAACTCAATGTGATTCTAATTTTCTTTCTTTTTTTTCTTTTTCTTCCTTTCTTGCTCTTTCTTTCTTTCCTTTTCTTTCCTTTTTCTTTCTTTCTTTCTTTTTTCTTTTTCTTTTAAAAAAGTGCTACGATACAGAATCAATCCGAAATGATCACCAACTGGCCAGCCAGAATAAACAGTTCATCTAGAATCAACACGACAATGCACAACCAAAAACGCAATTTTAAGCCCCTCAAACAACACAGCGCCATATTACGAAAAGCAACAGGCCACAGGTGCAAAGCACCTTAGGGTGTTTCCTTCAGTGGTTCACATTGTACAGTCTCTCCTATGTGGTCTCTAAAATGGAGTTTCTTTTGCTGTTGTTCTTGTTCAGCCAGGTATTATTGAAGGGCCACTCAATAATCTCAGTTTTTAAAGTTTGGGCTCCTGCTTCGTGGAAGAGGCGCCAAGAGATCGATGTCACCCCTGGAATTGTCAAAATCCAAAGTGGGACAAAGGAGGACCTGTGGAGGGAAAGGGGAGAAAGCATTCAATAATTCATTTCATGGGCCATATTTTCTTATCATCTGCCAGTCAGAACTATTCGTTAGCAAAGAGGAGCAAAGGGGAAGAAGGACTTTTAAAGTCTCCTGACACTTGAAGAGCAAGGAAAGGCAAACTCGATAAGAGTTTTCCTGCTTACATTCGCGCACCATCCCTGGATTTTTTAAGAGGAGATTGCACGGTCACTTGTCTTAAATGGTGTAGGTTCTCCTACTTGAGTAGGGGACTGGGATGGTAGAGAGTTTCCTGCCTGGGCAGGGGGTTGGACTAGAAGACCTCCGAGGTCCCTTCCAACTCTGTCATTCTGTAGATGACTTCCAAGATCCATTCCTGTCCTGTATTCCTGTCCTTTCTATTCTACTCCACTCTACTCTACTCTACTCTACTCTACTCTACTCTACTCTACTCTACTCTACTCTACTC